GCAATGTAGTTCGTCTGAACATTTGCCATTGAAATAGTGAAACACTTAGCTGTACAGGCCTGAACTGATGGAACTAAGCAATGTAGTTCGTCTGAACATTTGCCATAGAAATAGCGAAACACTTAGCTGTACAGGTCTGAACTGATGGGACCAAGCAATGTAACTCGTCTGAACATTTGCCATGGAAATAGCGAGACACTTAGCTGTACAGCTCTGAACAGATGGAACCAAGCAATGTAATTCGTCTGAACATTTGCCATGGAAATAGCGAGACACTTAGCTGTACAGGTGTGAACTGATGGAACTAAGCAATGTAATACGTCTGAACATTTGCCATGGAAATAGCGAGACAGTTAGCTTTACAGGTCTGAACTGATGGCACCAAGCAAAGTAGTTCGTCTGAACATTTGCCATAGAAATAGCGAGACACTTAGCTGTACAGGTCTGAACGGATGGAACCAAGCAATGTAATTCGTCTGAACATTTGCCAGGGAAATAGCGAGACACAGCTGTACAGGCCTGAACTAATGGAACTAAGCAATGTAATTCGTCTGAACATTTGCCATTGAAATAGCGAAACACTTAGCTGTACAGGTCTAAACAGATGGAACTAAGCAAAGTAGTTCGGCTGAACATTTGCCATAGAAATAGCGAGACACTTAGCTGTACAGGTCTGAACTGATGGAACCAAGCAATGTAATTCGTCTGAACATTTGCCAGGGAAATAGCGAGACACAGCTGTACAGGCCTGAACTAATGGAACTAAGCAATGTAATTCGTCTGAACATTTGCCATTGAAATAGCGAAACACTTAGCTGTACAGGTCTAAACAGATGGAACTAAACAATGTAGTTCGTCTGAACATTTGCCATTGAAATAGCGAGACACTTAGCTGTACAGGTCTGAACTGATGGAACCAAGCAATGTAATTCGTCTGAACATTTGTCATGGAAATAGCGAGACACAGCTGTACAGGCCTGAATGGATGGCACCAAACAATGTAGTTCGTCTGAACATTTGCCATGGAAATAGCGATAGGGCATCGAGAAAACCTGCAATCTTTCGTCTGTGAGAAAAGTAATTGTATGGTGGTAAATAACTCATCGCCAACAAAGACCTGGAGGCATTTTTGGACTCTAATAAGACTGGAAAGAGAATATTTCGCAGCTCCATTCCATATATAGCAGCAATACTCCATTTTCGCCTGATCTGTTTCTTGTAAATTTAGGAGTTAGAAACTTCCACAGCGAACTGATAATTTTTTGAAACTTCTTTGATAATGGATCTTCTTTGATAATGGATCTTCTTTGATAATGGATCTTCTTTGATAATGGATCGCATGTATGACTTCTCTTTGAGTTTTGGATTAAGTTTAACTCCTAATATGGGCTTATGTCACAGGCCTTCGCTCAAATAACACCTGTTCATCGCGATAGGCAAAAATTCTGGGTCAGCTCGGCGATGATGGAACGTCAGTAAAGTGATTTTCGATACATTAGCTGTGACCAGTTTGTTTTTCCACCAGTGAGCCGTTAAAGCTAGAGAAGAGAAGAGATCAGCTGTCGGTCTGTGGTCATTTACTGACCAATGTAACATATCCCACTGTAATTTTAAGTCTGAGGAGCTGAGGGTCCAATAGAATATCAAAAGTCGTCCGATAGTTGCTCAAACCTGTTTCCACTTAGTCTCATAAGATTGTGTAGCTGCATTAAATTGGGCAAACTCCTACCACTAGGAATATATATTTATATTTTTGAGATTTGGTATTGTAACTATTTAAAGTTTTTGTTCCTTCGGGCCACAAGACTCAGTGGATAAAAGTATTCGTTGTAATAATCCAGTGACTTGACCCGAATAGTTCAGTACCTAGCTACAGTAGCAGTGATCTTGGAGAGTTGCGTTACTAAAGAGAAATAACTGAAACTGAGATATCCAAAAGAATCATGCCATGTTGAATTAGAACAATCTACCCCATAAATTCCATCGTATATCACCTGAAGAAGGCCAGAGAGTACAACAGCCGAAACGTAAATATGACAATAAAAATGAGGAAAATAATCTGAATAATGTAAATAACAATTAAGAAACATAGCAACCATAAGAAAAGCCAATAAATAAACCGTCTGTGTATATCACATTGTTCCAAAGTTTACGAGTGGTTTCGTTTTGTTTTGTGTGGTTTGGTTTGGTTTGGTTTACGCCGTATAAACTACAATGAGTTATTTAGTGCCGATAAAATTTCCTTTTTTTTTTTCAAAAATGTATAGCTGGCAATATTTAAAAAAAAAAAATATGTATAGTTTCGTTTGTTTTGTTTTGTCGCGCATTAACCTCAATGAGTTATTTAATGCTGAGAAGTTTTTTTTTTATGTCTGGTAATATTTTTTTTTTCAAATATTTATTACTGGTACCAAATTTTTAAAAGTAATTCTAGTATTAAAATCTACTTTTACACTTTCATAGTGTTTTGAGTCAGGTTGTGGGGTCAACTATTTGCCCTTAACAGGGACCCCAAACAGGAGCTACCAGTCCGGGTCAGGGTGGACCTCGGAACACCAGCAATTAAGAAGTGGTTCTACGCTCCTCAAAACCTCCTGATCAGAGCCCTTGCTGTTGGACGTAGTTTATCGTCTTACCCAGGACGCGGATGCTGCTTATTTTCATACCCAGGACGCGGATGCAGTTTATCGTCATACCCAGCACGCGGATGCAGTTTATCGTCTTACCTAGGACGCGGATGCAGTTTATCGTCTTACCCAGGACGCGGATGCAGTTTATCGTCATACCCAGGACGCGGATGCAGTTTATCGTCATACCCAGGACGCGGATGCAGTTTATCGTCATACCCAGGACGCGTTTGTTAGTGGTTGCTGTAAGCAATAAGAAAAAAAAACACCTTAATGCAATCATAGCAAAATTGCCTTCGTTTGATGTTTACAATATTTCTCAGTCGCCGAGACTACATTCCTTGCATCGCATGCTAGCGCTCCCAGTTTATAAATGACATAAATATATTCACATACTTGACTTATCTACTTGGTACTTATTAGAAAACTAGACGATCTGGAAATTGTCTATTTATTATAATGGTGAAGATAACCGTTTCCTCGCAGCAAAGTTTCAGCATTCATTACCTGAGCAATGGGCGCTGATGTCGTTTAAAATTTATTTAAATCTTTCTCTTAAACAGAAAAATTAGCGTTTCATGTCCCCTGTTAGCGTTATTTACAGTATTAATAAGAGTTTCCTTCCTAACATTTTATTTAACTTAATGTGGAAAGGCAATATTTTGATTATACCTTTATTTTCTATTCTAGATACATGTGGTATCCATTTTAGTTTTTGTTGATGTTGAATAAAGTATAGGTTCTAAATAAAATGGGTGATCAAATAGGGTTAAAATCCACGTCTATTTCATAGCTAATACAGCTACAGTATCTGTTTACCTACTTATTCTTCTTTTAATTTTCTCTGTTCCTTCAGGACATGGCAGAAAAATGCTCACTACACCTTCATATATTTTGCTATTTATATAACCTTTGACTATTTACATACCTTTTTGTGGTATTTGCTCTGTCATCTGTTTAATCAGGAACGCACCCTAAATTTTGGTGTTACTTGTCCTGTCATTTATTTACTCAAGGTCACAAACTGATTTCCAATCAGTATAATCAAAGAAATCGAAATAATCTTCGTTTATACGTTTCCATCGTCAGTCTTAGAATGTAAATCCAATTTCCAATTAAATTTATAGAACATAGTCATTAAAGACGAAAGGAATTGGTATAAGATGCCAATTAATCAATCAGCTTTGATTTTGAGTGCGTTCATTGCTTTATCGGTAAAATCATAAGAGTAAAACCGTACTCATATATGATAGAGGAGGTACTTCATTTTTATTTACTATATTATTATTATTTACTATATTTTGATGTACTTCTTTTTTTATGTATTACGTTTTTTTAATTGTGAGTAATCATGTATCTCTACAAATTCCTGTTTTTGCTGCTCTATACAACTATACTCACATTACCATCACACTGACTTTGCTCTGTCATATATTCATATTAACGTTTTCAATAGGTTACTCACTGTTTTCACTGTTTCTTTTGCTTTCAGCATGTTTTACATTTAATCATATATAAGTTTATTCATGCTCTTGTTCCTCATTTACACTTCTCCTATAATATAACGGTCTCTTTCTGATTGTATATATAATCTACTTGTACTCAAAAGAACCTGAACTCAAAAGAGTCAACGGCCAACTAAATAATGGTGGTGGTTCAATAAATCACTGTGGATAAAAAGCAGATACTACTCTATTCTCCCTTAAACGAACAGCAGTGGCAATATACAAAATTATCAACTACAAAACCAAAATTTATGGAAATATTTCAGTTCACTGCTGATTCTAATTTTTGAGATTTCAATTTATGTGTGTGCATATGCATTTTGTGTATATGTGCTTGAAAATCGATGTGTGTTTTCGATTATATATTATTGTGCTTTTCAACATATAGGTTTTTTTCTGGATGTTTGTAATTCTGAGGGATATATGCTTTGCATGTATTGAGTACTACATAACATCTGGTGTAAGAAAATGGTTAAATTTATTCCACCAACACCAACGAATTAATCAAAAAACGGTAGGACAAAGCAAAATATGAAGAGTTTTAATAGCATACAGAAAAGATCAATCCACAAAATGAATAGTAAAAGGCGGAAAGAAAATAAAAAAAAGATAAATAAAAAGAATGCATGAGATGAAGCGAGAGGTAGAAGCTTTTGCTGCTGTCGCTTTTATATTTGTCAAATTAGAAAGCATAAGATAAACGCAGCTTGCTCTTTTTCGGCTCGGAAGAAAATTTTAATCAAGAAACCAAAAAGGAAAACGCGAAATAGATTGACGTGACAACGTTATATTTTGTCAGATGAGGAGATGAAAAAAAATTAGCTGAGAGGGAAATAAAAAATGAAATTGGTAGATGAAGGAAAGAAGGTTACAAAAGCGAAGGCGGGAAAATAAGGATTAATTGAGAAATAAAAGAACAGCTGTATGGCATGAGGAGGAAGAAATAATTCCTAAGAGATAAGGTGAATGGAAACATTGGAAAGGGACAAGTAAAGTGATTAGGAGTTGAGAGTAGGAAGCAGCAAATGTAGGAGAGAAAGAGAAAAGAACCAACGGTTAGCTTATATAGAGATAACGCAACAGAGAGTATATTATGTAATACAACACTGAAAGAACGTTAAAGAACATGAAAAGAAGGAGGGAAAGAGAGAATGAACAGGAGAAAGAATCTTCTGGGGAGAAGTAGGCAGCGATATGACTGAGAGAGATGGAAATAGAAGTAAATGGGGAGAAAATGTCAATTATAGGATAAATGAAGAACGAAAATTAAGATGGAAACAAATTCGATAACTCGAAGTCGATAGAATGGAGAATGTTAATATTTAGTAGGAAAATAAGAGAAAAAGATGTGAGTAACAAAGAAAGAAAAGTGAAAGAAATAAAAGAATTATAAAAGAGAAAAGAAAAAGAAATGCTGAACGATGTAAAGAAGAAAGGGAGTAAAAAGAGAAAGAAAGAAAAAAAGAAACAATAGAATGGTGTGAAGAAACGAAAGAAAAGGATAAAGGAAGACAGAAGAAACTTAAATTGTATTATATGAAGAAGCAAATAAGAATGGCGTTAGAATAAAGAAAGAAAAAAAATTGAATGATCCGAATTAGAAAAGAAAAACTGAAAAGGAAAAAATGAAGGAAAAGAAAATGAATTATGCAAAGAAGGAAAGAAAAACCTGATTGATGTGAAAATGGAAAAAAATTGACAATGATGTTAGAAAAAAAAACGAAATAAAATTATATGATAATATAAAAGAAAAGAAAACAATGAAAAATGAAATAAAAGTTAATGATAGCCGTAAGAACAGAAGGAAAGAAAATTTAATAGCGTGAAGAAAAACGAAAAAATGAAAATAATATTGATAAGAAAGAAAGAAGGCAAAAGTGAATGACGTAAGGAAGGAAATGGAAAGAAACCGGAAATATTTTAAGTAGGAAGTGAGCGTCAAAAGTGCGATGAAAGCAAATGGTTATCAGGAAGAAGGAAAGGAAATGAGAAATGGGATGATGCGAAGAAGGGTGGGGGAGAATGATGACAAATAGAAGGACAGAAAACTGAGGAAAGTGAAAAAGAGGAACAAAAAGGACTGGCGTGAGGAGGAGAGAAAAAGAAAGGAAATGATTAACAGGAAGAAGGAAAGGAAATGAGAAATGGGATGATGCGAAGAAGGGGGAGAATGATGACAAATAGAAGGACAGTAAACTGAGGAAAGTGAAAAAGAGGAACAAAAAGGAATGGCGTGAGGAGGAGAGAAAGAGAAAGGAAATGATTAACAGGAAGAAGGAAAGGAAATGAGAAATGGGATGATGCGAAGAAGGGTGGGGGAGAATGATGACAAATAGAAGGACAGTAAACTGAGGAAAGTGAAAAAGAGGAGCAAAAAGGAATGGCGTTAGGAGGAGAGAAAAAAAAAGAAATGATTAACAGGAAGAAGGAAAGGAAATGAGAATGGGATGATGCGAAGAAGGGGGAGAATGATGACAAATAGAAGGACAGAAAACTGAGGTAAGTGAAAAGAGGAGCAAAAAGGAATGGCGTGAGGAGGAGAGAAAAGAAAAGGAAATGATTAACAGGAAGAAGGAAAAGGAAATGAGAAATGGGATGATGCGAAGAAGGGTGGGGGAGAATGATGACAAATAGAAGGACAGAAAACTGAGGTAAGTGAAAAAGAGGAGCAAAAAGGAATGGCGTGAGGAGGAGAGAAAGAGAAAGGAAATGATTAACAGGAAAAAGGAAAGGAAATGAGAAATGGGATGATGCGAAGAAGTGGGGGAGAATGATGACAAATAGAAGGACAGAAAACTGAGGTAAGTGAAAAAAGGAGCAAAAAGGAATGGCGTGAGGAGGAGAGAAAGAGAAAGGAAATGATTAACAGGAAGAAGGAAAGGAAATGAGAAATGGGATGATGCGAAGAAGTGGGGGAGAATGATGACAAATAGAAGGACAGAAAACTGAGGAAAGTGGAAAAGAGGAGCAAAAAGGAATGGCGTGAGGAGGAGAGAAAGAGAAAGGAAATGATTAACAGGAAGAAGGAGAGAAAATGTGAAATAGCGTGATAACAAATAGAAAAGCTACGATGGGGAACAGAAGAAAATTTTAAAAAAAATGATTATATCGCAATAAAGAAGAACAAAAAGGAACAGTTTGTATTATAATAAAATATTTTTAAAAATTGGTTATTTTTAAGCTGTTATTAGTTAATTAAAATTCACCATGTTTCGCCTTTATTCGCGATCAACAATCAAATATCTGAAAAATGACACGAATGGCAAGAAATATTCCATTAAATTATCCTAAAATAAACTTTTAATTCTTTGCTATATTAAAATTTTATTGGGTTCCTTTTTAACCTCAGCTTACTGATCGACCAAATTTATCAGAAGTGTTCTTGTAAATATTATTATGAGATAATGAAGAATTAATAGGTCTTTATATAATATTGTATATACCATTGTATGTGTATGCGTGTTTATGTGATGTGAAGTTGGTTAAGGCAATAACATATCAATCAGTTCTGGATTAATTACTCACGAAAATAAGAATGAAAGGCAGAGATCTCAGTGAATCAATAGAAAGATTGACATATTTGCATTAGAATCAAAATCGTAGATATTGGTTTGGTCTACAGTAGAGTCACAAATATAGACACGGGCCTGGGTTAGACTAGATTCAAAATGGCAGACATAGATTCATTTTAGTCAAATATGTAGACAAGTTCTAGTTTAAACTAGGGTAAAAATTATATAGTCCGGTTTACTGTAAAGTAAAAACGTCCGGTTTATACTAGATTTAAAATATAAACATTTGTGAGCTTTATAATCACGCCTACAAGTGTTCTCTGTGAATGTTGCCCATTTGAATCTGGGATAGGGTTCTTACGCCTCTTCAAGGGTTACAGTCAGCGTATCATAGGTCACCCCGTCTGAGAAATGCATTTCAGGATCAGGTAATACATTTTAACGGAATATTTGTGTATGCGGAGAATATCTGTAAAATTCATCTCGAAGATGATGGCGGAGTGGCAGAAAAGTCTACATGGAAGTCGCTCAGGACATGCTGAACGGTTCAAACCAAGACGCAAACTTCATTATGACCACCATCACTTGTGATGAGATAATGGTATATTTTTGCACCCGAAAAACAATTCCAGTCCCATAATGGAAGCAT